CTCCTAGCACCAGTATAAATATATTTTATCCTTCAATACTAAACACACTAAAAGGTGTTGGAATCAATGGTCCCTTCGGAGCGGTAAAGTATATCAATACATTTACAAAATGTTAAGAAGTTCAAGTCTCATGAATTTGTTATTTTTTAAGGAGAACTGTTCGCATATGAACGAGTGTGATTAAAGCGTTCAGTAATTAATGGTCTGACAAAGATATCTTTCCTTTAGGACATATTAATCTTTTTTTATAACCATCATTTTTTATAAGTGAATCGTCAGCTATCAAGAAATCAGATCTTATTTAAAAATAAAAGATTTTTGTCTTTTCACATTCAACTTAAAAAGACATAATTATGATCCAAAATCAAAACAAATATAGAAACAATTTTGCATTTTTTTATGCATATGTTAAACAATTGTTGTAATGTACTTCACCAAATTTATTTGTCTTTTACTTTTCTCTTTCATAGAAGTTCAAAAGAAGATGATAATTTGTTTTGTTAAATGTTTCAGTTCTGTATAGTCTTAGATTTGTATCTAAGTGCATATCTACAGTTTACTTTATAGGATAGGCAAAATGTATACAGCTATAACGCAAACTGTCTTGTTATGAAAGAGTTTGTCTGTGTTTTAAAAAAGAAAAAACCTTTTTTGTATACAATTTATTTTCATAAACGTTAAGTTGAATTCAACAAAAGCGGTTATAATTGAAAGCGTGTATATTTAATAATGTTCATCTTTTGATACTTTTTTATCACTTGAATTTAGTGTTTGGTAAAGCCATATTAAGGCGCTTTATCTAAGTTTTTAAAGACTTTCAAATTTTTATAATTCGTTACATTTGTAAGATGAGATGATTATATAGAGATAATATAATTCACGATAATCGATGTACATGTTGTTATTTTTATTTACTAGGGATTATCTGTGCAATCCGGCAAGCGGGCTTTGTTTCGTGTTTATGCGTACTAAGCATATATAGTCCATATTTTAGAATGAGATTATTGACATGAAATTTAATTGTAATATAAAGACCTGATAGCCATACTTTATCAATTATGGGCTGACTTCCATTCTTGATTCTATACCGGGGTTGTTTTATTGTTCTTGTGGATTTTGTTGTGTGCTGAATTCACCGAAACCAATTCGCCTTGCATTCGTAAACCATTTATTTCTCCGTTCACTGAACGATGCAAAATGCATCGGATTTGTACTCTAGGGGTTGCTGGTTTGATCTTTTAACAAGGCAAACATTCTCTGTGACAGTGAATCTTGAACATCAATCTAATGGACATTTGTCTCTAACCGCTTATTACAAATCATGTGCGATTACAAGCTAGTCTTTTCTACAAACATTAGTTATTACTGGTAATATATTCAGGAAAACGGGTTAGGTGGCGCAACCGCAGAGATATGACCAAAATATGTTTAAATCAGATAAGTCAGCGTTAAATCCAAACAAACAAACATCTGCGAGGGAAAACAAACAGACAGAACTAATTACCGGTATATCAAATTGTTCTCACAAACTTAGAAAGAAATGATTTGTTGATATCAGATTATCTTAAACTAGTTGTTGATTAATGTATTTATGTCATCACTGGTGTTGTTGGAATTTGTTATCTGTTTTAATAACACACACGGAAATCCTTGTCATTTAGAAAACATGCCGTAGCTGCCATGTATCATGTACAAAAAAAACATGATAATGATTTCTTTTTCCATAAAAAAGATATCTTGAGCTATAAAACATATTCATCAAATAATGGGGATTCTGTGGCTTTTTTTACTGTATAAGAACATGGAAAATAATGCGACTGCTTGAGAAATAACCAGTTTTATCTGAGATTGATATAATCCCCAACAGTTGTATTGACATTTAAATTAAAACTACATCTTGTATTCTACAGAATTGTCTGTGTAATTTCCTAAATCTAATTCAGTTACGTGGTGTTCTTTTTTTTTCTTAATTATCACTTGAAACTTTTATAGCATTTTGATTATTTCTTTGTTTATTTCCATAATGTAAATTTAAATAACTTAATTGTTTTATGTATAAACTTTGAATCTCTTCTGCAAATGATTTTGTGAAAACAAAATTTTAATTCAATTTGTCTAACTCCGTTAGTGATTATATTAAAAACATAATTCGATTTTTGTTGTTACATAAGGTTGAACAGTTAATGTCTTTATTTAATTATTATACAGAAATCACTAAATGTACAAGAGCGTGCTATATGGATTATATGGCTAATTATTAACATAATATGTTGTTAAGATTTAAGTCGGTTTCAATAGGAATGTATGCCAATTTTTGACATCCGGTGTTGCTTTGAAATTTGTTACACCCAAGGTTAGCTAAAATCATTTTTCATGTTTCAGCACCGTTTGACCTATAGTGTCAAACGTAAAACCAAAGAAACCGACACACAAAAATCGTACGCAAGATCAAGGAAGCACAATATTGTTAAAATCGTATTATTTCGAAACACAGCGACATTCTCAAATCAACATTCTCATATATAGTGCCTGAAATTTTGTATCAGAAATCCAATGCCAAACACGACGTGTGAGACAACTGGAAATTTGATGAAATTTTCTACTCCCCGAGAGATTAGATTTTAGGCTAATTTGGAGCGTCCATTTTTTTATTGTAGCCTTTATAAATACGACTAAAGTCTACCGTGACATTTTCATTTTGTCTGGAACAAAAGTATACATAATTTAAATACGAATTTTTGGGATTAGTTTTTTTATCCCTGTAACAGAATAGAATAGTTATCGGTGCCCTCCTGGGTTCTTTGTCGGTGATCCTTTTATTTTATAAAAAAAGGAGCATTTTTGGTACTAATATATAACATAACTTCAACGTAATAAACAGCTATATTTTGTTGCTTTGAAATGTCACGAGGATACAAGGAAATCGTGAGAAAACACTTTTTATTTAAGAAGCAAACGGGGGGAAAAAATTGTGTAAAATGATTTCAATAGAGATTTCGAGAATCTCCCCGGGCTACAAATTATAGTGTTTTTAATCATTAGTAATCCGTGATTTTGCTCGGGAATCAGTTTTGTATTTAAACTAATGGAATATGACATCAACGTAATACGTTATTTGAAACTGGATTCGATTTGCTCGCAATGGAACATTGTGACATATTTTAGCAAGATTATTTTTGTCAGTAAGCTGTTTTTTCATAATTCAAACATGTTTTATTATTGAAAATTAAGATCTCTCGCAACATGAATCAGAAAGTTCACTGTCTTCTCCTTTTTTGAGAAATTGTTGCATATGTGAATTTGCCTTTTTATGAATAAAGCAAGATTGCTATGGATATCTACATGTACACTTACATACCGACTACATAATCTTGTTATTAGTAGCTCCGTACTTCACACGAAACAAAATGTGCTGCCAATCTATTCTCAAACTGTTTTATCAGCACGGAACATTTGTTCTTGCAATTATTTCGAGATTTATTTATCATAAATCTAATAAAAACGATTCATTCTCTGCTAATTCTTCCCTCAACAGGAAGATTGATGTCAGTCGTTCTCAGCACGTTACTTACGCTATTCGGGAGAGCGCGCTGACAATAAGTGTGATTGTCCCTGTATCGATTTTCTCGCACACCCTGTATAAAGCAAGGATAGTTTTTGTATCCTATTCGATATGTATATTTCATTCATTCCTTTTGTATCGGAATTTTCCAAAAACGCCATTTGAGTCATTAGGTATTGTTATATTGATTCGTGAAACAATGAATCCCCTTAATATGGTAAATGTTGTAAAGCCATGGTTCCGCTGAAGACAGCGTGTCTGTGGTTGTTTGATTGCAAGTTAAGAATTTTGACAAAAGGGTGAACAAGGTTATACATTGTCGTATATTCATGTCTAAATTTGAGTTAACTAACACAACAAAGATAATGTAGAAATCTTGTTTCCTACTTAAATTTTGAGACCAAATAATGGTTGAGTCATATTTGTTGTTGTTGTTTTTTGTTGTTGTTGTTATTTTTTTGTTTTTTGTTTCAGAACGGCATAATTTTTCATTTTAATGCCACAAACGAGAATTTGTTTTATAATCTTTGAATATAAATCTATAATGATAACTTAAGCATTGAATTATTAATGAATGCAATAATTTTTGTTCTGTTATTGAACATAATATTTTAACTTCTTACAAACCGAAAGTTGATAGTTTTACATTAGTTTAAACATATTTTATTTCTCAGAATATATTATATACATGTTACAATTTACAATATACACAAAGCATTTCAAATATTCTTGAAAAATATGATTATAATGAAAGACAAAGTGTCTAATGAAATTCTTCTCCTATAGTTTTACATTCAAAGGTTTGAAAGCAAAGGTAATCTAAAATACATTTGTAATACACAAGTCAAACTGAATTGTTCGAATTTGAGGACATTCGGTGGAATATTGGTTTAGTTTTTTCACAAATGAAGTTGAACTTTTACAGACAAGAACCTGATTTGAACTTATTAAGTTATCTATAAAAGCAAATAAGTCTCCCTCGCATTTAGGTACTTGGTACTTGGTATATAACAGTAGAGTGTATTTAATCAAATAGTACTTTTTCCAACCAGATTAATTTCCTCTTTAGCTGTGTCTGGACGTTTTTGGTCAGACATGAAATTGCTTCAATTTATGTTTATTTATTTATTTACCAAACATAGATTTTTTTTAGAAAAGTCCTACTTATATGGTTTAAATTATAAGTAGCTGCATTAAAATAAACTGCTAAAATGTTTACATGGTAAAAAGGGAGGTATTTTCAAACTAGCGATTACATATGAAATTACTGTAATATAACCTAACATGTTTGCAAACACCTATTTTAAACATATATGTAAAATACGTTTTGATATTAACATTTCATGAGATATTTATTGTACATGTAGCAATACCCTAAAGTTGTTTTAATTAATGCTTTATTTCAAATAATTATTTATAATTCATATTCTACTTGCAGGTCAATAGTTTTGTTGGAGCGTTCCACGATGCCGTCATCCTGTACGCCCACGCCCTGAACGAGACGCTGGAGGCTAACCGGTCAATAACAAATGGAACAGAAATTACAAAGCGGATGTGGAATCGAACTTTTAGAGGTACACTTTATATATACAGTTAAAAAAAACAAAACATTCAAAACTTTGTTACTATGTGAGAAAGAAAAACAACGATGTTATAAAATAAGAATAAAATAGAGTCGATAATACAGAAATAAATTTTAATTCCTACCGTGATAGAAAGGCCTTTGATATGAATGTCATATTTTGATTATAATAAAGTCTTTTTCTAAGGCGGCTACACAGTTGCAACAAAGGCAGTCTACCATGTGGGCTTCATATAATTTTACATTTAATAGTAATAGGAAAAAAAACACAAGTTAAACATTCAAATGTTGGAATGGAATTGCATTTTCTTATATTTCGTTTCTTTTGCGTCAATTTCGAAATCAAATAAGTATGGATATTTGATACTTACACGTTATTTCGTGCATCTGTCAGTCTGGCCAAGCTTTCTTAGACAATAATAAGTATATTACTAGCTAAAAGTGCAAACATTTACTTAGATAAGTCGTCTAGGAACCGAGGTCATCATCTGAAATAAAAATGAACATTGGTTTTACAAGTGCCCTTGCTTGATTGCAAATTAAATATACCAAGTAAAAATCAAAAACGGAAAAAAATACCGGAAATTATGACAATCAAAATTGCTATGGATAAAATAAATAATTCGTTTTCCAGAAGTATCATATATGAAATTTATGAATATAGAATATATTAAGATAATTGTTGTTGCAGACGTAATGCCTTCATGAAATAGCTTTGATATCAAAACGGCATGCAGCTGGATATACATTTGTATACTTAAGTATGATTGCAAAGCAATTTGTGTCTGATGTATCAAACTTGTCAATAAAACTGCAACAAAATTCTTATAAATGTGCAATTTTGAACAGGCTTCATTAAAACTGAAGTAATTCCCACTGTATAATGGTGTTTATTTATGCATTACAATGGGTAAACAAACAATAAAGTTTAAGTATCTATTGTTTTGAGAGTTGAATCAACTGTTCGCAATTGTTGCTTTCCACACTTTTCACTTTTTTTTCTGAGGAAATTTCTTGAAATTCGATTAAACACTTGATGTAATTATCAAACTCTAACTTTCAAGGTTATCAAAACATCTAAGTTTGCAAATTTTAATTTCAAAATAATAATGAAATTTACACGTTTAAAGTTCATCAAACTATATATATATGCTTGTTTTATTTTTCAAAATTATTGTTTGATTTTTGAAAAAAAATATAAATCTGAAATACCTGTATGACGAATATGCTCTTATATTTCCTACAGAGAGAAATGTACGTTCACAAATAATCTCTTAACGTTCAAACCCTACTTAAAGTAGCAGTCAAGAACATTTTATTTCGTACAATATTCTTGGGCGTGTTAAATAATAGTGGCGGTCTATGTTATTACTGTTCCGACAAGATTGTGGAAGCTACATGATTTTACTGTCTAAAAATTTTTAAAGATATTTCTTTAAATATAGATTTATACCTCTATCTTTTTTAAGCTTGGAAAGTGAAGACGGGTTTAAATAAACAAATACATGTATATATGGGGTTTCGTTTAATTAAGCAATCAAGCATTCTTGTAAGGACAGAAATAAAGGCAAACAAAATAATGTTTGGTACTCGTGTAACGACATCCAACAGCTTGTGGAATGGATGTATTAAATGATGTGTATAACAATCACACAACTTGTCAACAACCCCTGGTAATAATGATTATATTTTGCGAGAGAATCTGCTGTTTACCATTAATCAGGAATTACTCTCCCATGGCCGACCATTATTAGTGGCTAGAGTGTCTTTATTCAATACGTGTTAAGATGTCATTAACGTCCAAGATGTAAAATGACGATCTCTTGTGACAGAAACAGCGCACAATGGTAAAAGATGATGGACAAAATGTGGTATTAAAGGAAATGATCCGTTCTCATATTTTCAATGGTAGCCTAATTTGTAAAACTAGATAGAAATGACTTGATTATATGAAGTGTAGCTTCATTACTATTGAACTCTAGTATGCTCGCCACGCAGAATTCCAATACAATTTTATTCAACTCATTCAATAAATTAAATATAAAAGCTACACACATTCAATATCCTCTATTTCTTGATATGACAATATTAACAATATTTGATTTCTTTGATGCTGAGAAGTCTAATAGATTATACATGTATACAAGATTATGCAAGTTGTGTTAGCTTGAACTTTTCAAGGGATTCAAAGAAACGGTAAAAGAACGGTGCAACAGGGCACCGTCTTTAATAGTCAGTCTTCATTCTGTATTTCGCGTTTACTGTTATATGTAATATAAAATGATATATACTGTTGGATTTTGTTCATCGATCAAAACCTCCAGTAACATATAGTGTATGTTTTGCAGTATATTTGGACTTTTTGTAAATAAACACAACATTTGCGTTTATATTTGGAAGTGTTTCATGCATTAATTTTCATGCCTATATAAATAAATTCGCTTATTTGCAATGTATTGTATTGCATCTACATATATTCACAAAATTCTAACATTGTGAATGATATTGTGAATGAATTCTCGCCACAGTATGAAGTAAAAACTATTCATAACCCGCCAAAAAATGTTTTAACATGCAAAAGGCATAGATCAAGTCTGAAATGAAAGGTTACAAATATACTGTACCGTCTATAAGAACGTGCGCCTTATAGACGGGCAGTCTCCAGCTACATTCTATTATTATAAAGGATTTGCATTTATTCTTGTCACAATGCATTAATACTTTGGCATAGAGGTACTGCAAATATTCCTTTATCAGCAATTTCTGTCACAGAAGCATTACAAATGTTGATGGCCCTTCATCTTTCATTACTGCAATGGCGTAAAAGGTCATCTTTTGTTTCCATAAAGCTGAATGGTTTTATAATGAATGTGTTTCGTTTGAAAGAGTTTAAAATGTTTTGCGGCTGTGACATTAGCACACATTGGCATACATTTCTGCCATTTTCCTCATTATTTCTGTTTTGATGGAAGATGTTATAAGAAAATCATAGCAATTTTAGTCGTATTACTTTTAAACAACATTTTTATACATTTATATACATGCATATATCCGTCACGGTGTTGAACATCTTTAGCTGAAATATTCGAAGAATAGGGTGAGCTATTGTACTCACCCTGGCATCAGCATCACTGTCGACTGTAATGCTTTGCGTGCAAGTTGGTATCTTCAAAAATTACTGAAACGAAGGGGTGAAACATCACATACAGATTGGAGGGATTAATGAAAGGTCACTGTCCTAGGCCTATCACTTTAATATGAATTTTGACAGAATTCGTTTGAACTAAGAAAATTTTACATTATCCAGGATCTTGTTTTGCTGTCAAGCACTGAGAATAGTCGAGCAAGCTGTCCTACTGACAGTTCCTGTTAACTGTTATAATTATTTAAAATGCAAATACGTATTAAGACACATATGCATATTTCAAATATCCAACAAAATCTTTAAAAAAAAAGCAAAGCTTACGTATTATACTTAAGTATATATTTTCCGTCCGTATTCCACAAACAATGGTAGATTGATCTGTTTTGCCGTTGGTACTAAAATACAAAAAAAAAAACCCAAATCTTTTGACCTTGCTAACACAAAATATTGTGTATGCTTTTCTTTTCTTATAAGGAATTATTTTCAGACTAGACCATGAATCCCTGCCTATTACATTGGTGATATGGTGGTCAAGAATTACCAATTACTGGCCGTCTGATCTAATAAGTAATTTGCATAAAATTATTCCGCTTGACTCTCTGTCACTACATGAATGCGAACTATTTTTTTTGGAAAAAACAAATATTATTGATACGGAATAGCAAAAAGCCATTGAAGTGTGTTTTCTAACTTGTATATTTATATGGAACGAAAACATTTTGACTGTTTGAGTTTCTTTTTTCTGATGTCGCCCTGCATTCTCTAATAGAATTTGTACTTTATCATACTTCTTAGGGAATAGCTCGAAATAGCTCATGAAGGTTGGAAAAAAAATCATCTGAAAGTTGCCAAAGGAAAGCAAACAGAATCACTAAAATTGATATTCTTTCATCATTTGTTGCCCATATCTTCTCATTTTGCCAAGAACCAACAATGGAACCCATTCGGAATTGATAGCTATGCTTATCGTTGTAGACACATATTTTATTGGCCATTTAAATTTCCTGACAAATCTCTCAATTTAGATAAGACACTTTTCATCTTTTCATCTTTTTACTACTTGAGAACCTAACATGACAAAAAAATGCATTTCCAGATTACATTTCCTGGAAAGCAATTTTCTGCGCATTAGTAAAATAGTCCGGTTTTGGGATGAGACAAGATTATGTGGAATTATAGGCTTAGTTTATATTTAGTGTAAAGCAGTGCTATACAGGAGGAACAGATTGGTTTATATAAGTGTTTTTAATGTTACTGCGTGTTATGCTCAAGGTCAAGGTCAAGGTCTGAATCAAAATTGCGATTGTATTTAACTTAAACAAACATGTTTATCACTAACGAGCATTTTACGCGAACTTGGTTTTATAAATGATACATTATTTTTTCTGAGGCAAAATTATTTCTCGCTCAAAGACAATATCGACCAAGCCAAATACCACAAGGTTTTTTTGTTGTTGGTGGTGATGGTGTTTTTTTCTTTGTCAGATTATTTTGAATATAACAGTAACTGTTGTCGTGAAACATCTTTGAAACAATTCTAATAAAATCATATTTAAAGTAGATGATATATTCTTTATACTTGAATTAGATAAAATCATACTCATTCACTTTGAATTGAATGTGTACATTTATCAATATGGTCAAAAGGGAGGTTGGGTTGTTTGGTTTTGGATGTTGTTTCCTTTTTTAGATCCGGGTGTAATGTTTAAAAACGCTAATACAATTGTTATGTTAACAAGGAAAGAAACGTTAGTTGCTAAAATAAAAGCATACATTCCATTTTATACTGTATTTTGTTACATTGTCTTTTGGAAAGTTATATTTTCGTAGTAATATAACTTTTTATC